TAGTGGTACTATACTTGGTCTTCATCTTTGTGCCAATAAAGTTCTAGCTGTAGTAGTGGCATAAAGTAGTAAACTCTTTTGTTTTTTGGGTCCTCCGTTATTACCATTCCCCAAGAGAAAAATCTCAAGTGTTTGGGGAAAAGTTTTTTTTAATTATCTTTTCAAATTCATTAGATATAGATTCCTAATAATCCTTAATTATTTTACAGGACCACCACATGTGAATTAAAAATCCCTCAAGTTCCCTTGCAAGGTATATGCAAAATATACCTTTTTCTTTTTTTAGACATCTTTGCCAATCTGGTGGGTGTTAAATCTCTGGGCCATTTTGATCTTATTTTCTTTTATCGCATAACTTGCCGTAAAATTCATATTTATTTTCCACAATCTTTTTCCATAATGTATAATCAATATTGTGACCCACATCTTATGCCCACTTAATCATGCTTGATTTCACAAATTCATCTTTAGTTTCCCACTCCAACAGCCGTTTGTATATTTTTGATAATACTTTTATATTTGTATCTAATAGGTCTTTGATAAACTGAGACTTTTGTTCTGCAAAGCCATTTTCCCTATCAATTTTAAACAATTCATTAATCTGATGTACCTGTAGCCAATCTGTAACCAAATTTCTTAATTCCTAGAGATTTATCAGTTTTGGTTCCTGTCCTGCAAGGTCACTCTAAAATTTCACTGTAAGTTTTCCATATTTGTTTTTTTTCCCTGATCGTAGCTTCTACTGGGGATATCCATAGTGGTGTTTTTCTTTCCAGTAAATTTTTATACTTTTCCCACACTCTAAATAGGTTTTTTCTAATTACGTGATTTGTAAAAGTTTTATATTTTTTGCTTTTCTATACCATAGGCAGGCGTGCCACCCAAACTGTATATCATGTCCTTCTAAGTTTTGCCCTCTTGTATTTTTCAACAAAATCCAATCTTTTATCCAACATAGGCAGGATGCCTCAAAGTAAAGTTCAAGGACTAGATGACCCTTGGAGCCCCTTCCAACTCTACACTTTATGATTCACTGAACAAAAACTTTTACTTACATACCTGGTAAGTCTAAATTGCTTTTAATTCAGTCACCTCTCTCTGGGAGCAGCAGAAGTCTTGTCTGGTACAATTTTTTGTTGGCTAATCTCCAACCCTATGTAGACATGACCCTTTATGTGGCAGTTTAAAGTGACTGTGATGGGTGTGCCATCTGTATGAAGAAATGAAGTATTGTGAAAAAGAGGGAAGGCTTAGAGTGCCTGCTACTTGGAAGTTGTGGCCATTTGTAATTAAGGATAACTTAAGGGGTCACACCTACAATAGCACTCATATTGCACAATAACATACTGGGTCACAGAAAACGAGTTATTGACTAAGGAGTAAAGGTAGGAATTGTAACAAGATATGCATGTAATAGGATCATCCTGCAATACGTAAACCTTAATAACATGTCATGTTTACAATATTGAATCCTAGCACTGTAAAAACTCTTCGATTGGACCTGCCATTTAATTCTACAGCAGCATGCGTATGTGGATTTCATTAACACCTACTAGGTTTGAATACTGAATCTCACGTAATCATCCTCAGTAATCAATCCTACTCTAATAAACTTGACCAGCTACTTGTGCTCTAGACATTGTCTAAGATCTCCAATACCATCTGTTTGATTGTTTGGTTAAATTCTGCCATGCTGATTTTTCTGCAGGCAGCTCATCAAAAAGCTTCTTCACTCGTTGCTCCTGCAGTATGCTTTGCTTTCTCAGGAGCTCTAGAAATTCTAGGTTGACATACTTTGCCATACAGTGGTGTGTAAGAAAATGGCTTCTGCAGTTGCTATGCCTCCTTAATTGCTAGGTACACCCACACCTCCAACTAAGCTGGCGTGGTTTTGAAATGGGCTGCCATACCCCATTAAGTTGATATCCACCCTGCATTGTTGAAACTCTCACTATGTGGGCAGTGAGAACTTCAATCAATGATGCTATCAGGATTACAAGAATGGATAAATACCACACAAAAAATTGCAAGAAGTATGATTGATTTCCCATGACTGCTTAATTGGATATTTTCTGTAGATATTTCTCCAGGTTCTATTATTCTAGCATCATTATTTTAGTAAAAGGAACTAGTCACTTTGAGGAATTTTGTCAAAAAGCAGGATATAAATCTAAATAAATTGAATAAACCATTTAAAGACTAAGAAGCACACTGTGACTAAACTTCACCAAATTATTATTTCCATGGCACAATCTACATCCATGACACCTTGCAAATGACCATAATACTGTGAGGCGTCATAAAGAACATCTGCCTCCGAGCTCTGTAATAACATTCCTCAACACACCCAATGATTTTCAGATCAAAAGCTTGGCCTTTGTTCATCGGGCCATACATCATCTTCAGAAACAAATGGCCAAAAAATTCTTGAATCCTGCTCAGCCTGCTCTGGTATTCATAACTGAGGCTATGGAAGAAAGAAATCAGCTAAGATGGGAACTTGAGTCTTTCAGGAGCTAAAAGGTAAAGAAGATATTGTGTGTGTGTGTGTGTGTGTGTGTGTGTGTGTAAAAGCCTGGTTGCTCCAGTCACTCTGGGCGGCTTAGAACATAAAAAACCACAGCAACACATTATCAATTAAATACTTCCTACTTCCGGGTTGGTGCCAGCGCCGAATGGCGGACTCCCTCCGAGCGGGGACCCTCAGAAACCATGGGCGCGGATGCCCATGGACTTGGTGACTCGGCGGGCACCGTTTGCGCCCCCCCGACCCGCAAAGGAGCCTTTTTAAAGGCTCCGGAGCGGGGGATGGGGGGTGGCGTGGTGCTATGTGTCCTCCGCTTCCCCTGCCGAGCGAAGCCGCATGCCATTCGGCGGAGAGCGCTGACTTCTTCTTCGAAAATTTGGACTTAAAACAAGAACCCGTGAGTAATCTGGAATTTGGACTTAAAAGGGAAAATGTGTTTTGTTTTTTTTTTGGAATTCGGTACGAGCGGGGGAAGCGCAAAAAGGAAGTCCGCCCCCCCTTTTTTGTAGACAATTTAAAGCAAGGATCTACAACTAAGGTCGAGAGAAGAGCTGCTCTGTTTTATTGATAAAAGCTATTAATTTCACGATGGGAATTTACAAGTAATTGTGCTGGAGGAGAAGTGTGAATAAGTTAAAACGCAACCCCCCCCCCCCGGGAACCCGGAGAGATCCGTGAGAGAGCCTGCTGAAGAGATATAGAGATTTTGACAGCTGTCAAAGTAGCTGTCAAAGTTGGAGAACAAAAAGAGACTTTGTTACGAGGATTCTGCTGGTTAGATTTGTTACAATTTGGACATAAATTGCTGAAAATAAGAAAAACAAGTTAGCTGGACCTTTGGGTTTGATTTGGAAGGAAACTAAGTTACTATAATCCCCCTAGAGGGGCTTTTGGATACTACAAGAATGATTGTAAATGGAAAAATACTCATGGAATGGGACTGGACTATTTTATCTCCTGGGAAAGCTGCAAAACTGAAACATTATTTTGTCTACAGAGAATTTCACATTAAAGGAGACAATAGATTTATCTATTGAAGAACGGAAGGGAACTTGACGTAAGTTTTTGTTCCTGAACTAATAACACATCTGTAGAGGAACCAGAAGTTTTTGAACTAGCATGTTTTTGCAGCGCAACAGGAAAAGAAACTTGAGGAAAGAGAACAAAGGATACATGACGATTTGGAAGAGACTGAAGGAGGAGCCAGATTACTGTAAAGAGCAAGGAAGGCCAAAAGCCTGCTAGGGGGACATAAAAGAAAACAAGAATTGGACTAAGTTGGAAGTTAGAACATTTGGGACATTCAGACTTAAAAGGATTAAGAAACAGAAGTTGAGTTTTACTCTTAAATATAGAGGTCTGGATGGAAAAAATGGATTTTCTTGAGATAGAACTTTATTAAGACTGGGTGTTTGAAGTTAAAGATTATCAAGAAAACCGGCAAAGTGGAGCTGAGAGATTCGGGCATGGACGTGAGGTTTCCAGGCTGATAGCAGTTAGATTGATGGACATTGGGGATCGACACCGGGAAAGGGGGGAGGGAGATTTGGAATCCAAAGGGTGTAAAATTATGTTAAGAACTTTCTTTTTTATTTCTTCTAATCTTTGTGTGTATTAAAAAGGGGAATTCGTGGAAGGGATTTGGGGTCGTCCTTAGGGGGGAAATTTTTTTTAAAATGTTGAAAGAGGGCATTTTTAAGGGAAAGGAATTATATAAGATGAATTAAATTGAGTATCGGGCTAAATATAATAAGTTTTAAATCTGGGGGAAAAAAACTTGTGGAATTAAGTTAATGGAAATGGAATACAATAGGGGGAGGGGTGGGGGAAGTCTTGGAAAGATGTTATTGAAAATAAGGTTTTAAATATTCTTCTTCTTTTTTTCCTTTTTTCTTTATATCTTTTTTCTTTTTGTATTTTGGAAACTTTAATAAATATGTTGTTGTTGTTGTTTTTTAAAAAAATCAATTAAAAACTTCCTGATGCAGGATTGCCTTCAGAAAGTTGTGTAGTTATTTATCTATTTGGCATCTGATAAGAGGGTGTTCAACCGGGGGGGGGGGGCGGTGCTACTGCGGGGCGGGCACCAGACCCAGATTCATAGTTGAGTTGGCTGTTTTCGTTCGATCAAATGATTTGCATTATAGGGCTCAAATCTTGGAGCACCCTTTTATAAACATAAAAGAAGTGCCACTGTTTTAATACAGGTAATTTATAGACATTACTCTTTCACATGTAATATTATTTCATGTTTCAGTTAAACACTCGCCTTCCCGTTATACTCTTTGATTCTGCCTCTATTAGTGCAAGTTCCCCCAGAAGGGGAATTCTGGGTGTATTGCAGGATAGGGCAGGAAAGCACTTGTATGTCTTCAAAAACGTAGGACCTTCTGCACACACAGCAGGTGCTGAGCTACTGAGCTAGGGACCCTTCCAGATAATTAATAAACAATCCAGCACAATTCTGTGTATATCAACTTAGCTTTAATAACACAAGTATTAATGCTTCCTATTACAGACACCTCGTCAGAAACACTGCAACTGTTTTATATGGACTAGTTAGCTTTGTAATGCTTATCAAATCGTTCTGAAAGAGCTCTTAATATATTTCCTGGCCTTTTTTGGTGTTTATCCCGAAGATTTTCAAGTGCAATCTTCACCTGTTGAAAGAAAACCAGAGGAATACATTGTGTTAGAGGAATAGATTGCAAAATAGGTATTCACAGTTATTAATATCTGTGAGGAAAAAGCTAAAGGGATCAGAACCAGAGGCAACCCATTTATTCCAGCTATAGAAGCACAATATGTAACTTCTTTCTGGGATATGCAAATGAATTTGTACACAGAGATGTGTTGCATGAGAGTCCTTGTCTCTCAACCCTCAAAAGTGGCTTCTTCAACATGGAGGTTTGGGCCAGAGCAGCCAGGGTGAGGAACCCCCACTACAAAACTGCTCATCTCTCAGTGAATCCAGCCCACTCTCTTTCTGTTTACCAAGAGAGCTGTATGAGAATGGCAGAGAAACAATCAAACATATGTGCCTTGGGCTGCTTTGTACACAGTAGTTACCTTGCATGGTTGTTACAATGTAGGATAAAAGGAGCGAACCTCAGGACAACCAAGGCATAACCCCTTGCAGAAAGAAATTTCTTATCTGCCCCTTTAAACAGGCAATCAAAACCTGAAACTTTATGCAGCAAGAAAACAAGAAGAAAGTGCTTGGAGAAGAATCAGGCATACTAAACAATGTTCCAACCCTGTTCCCATCAGCCACCAGGACCCTACATGCTCCTCCCCTTAGCCCCCTCCCTTTGGGAGTCAGCTTCCCAAGTCTTCCTTTGCTTGGACTCTGTCTTGTGTGGCGTGGGCTCTGTTTCGCACGTGTGGGCAGTTTGGGAAGGGCACAAGAGGGCAGTAGATCAGTGGCCCCAAAGAAGCTCAGCTCAACAACTTTTTATGTGATTGACCAAAATTTTCATCAGGTGCAATTAGAATAAGATCTATTATTTGATTATTGATATAAACCTCCAGAATGTATTTTGTATAGTCAACCCTAACATAGTGGGAAGAAGAAGTCCCATTACATGAGCAGATCTCTCTTTGTACCATATAGTTTTTCCCATTTAATTAGTCTCAACAAGTTAAGGAGAGGGAAAATTGAGTGTTGGGCATAATGCACAAAGGTATATATAATCAACCCTATATCAGGTCATATAGAATGAAGAAATCAATATGTACAATACAGTTTAGAGCTGAAAGAGAGAGAAACCAAGAGGAAAAGAAATATTCTGCTTTTATTATATTTTATTATTATTAGAATATCACAAACTCAATACTCTATGACAGTCAATGAAGAAATTAGTTGGAAGATAAAAAATGACGCAGACATATTTTGAACACGCCAATAAATCAGGAAAATTGTTAGTGTGGCAATTGAAAAAAGTGAACAAAGAAATTTTATAAGCAAAATTAATATAATGGGAAAATTACAGAGAAGATGAAGGAAATAAGAGAAGCATTTGTGAAATGTTTCTCAAAACTGTATAAGAAAGGAAAGGAAAGGAGTTTGAAAATAGAGGAATATATACTGTAAAAAATAGTAATCTACCAAAAATAAAAGAGGAACAATTTGTGGCCTTAAATACTCAAATAACAGCTCAAGAAGTTTTAGATGCAATAAATTGGACAAAAAGTGGTAAGTCTCCAGGACTAGATGGATTAACGGCAAAATATTATGAAAAGTTAAGTGAACCATTAGTAAATCCATTGAAAGATTTGATGAATGAGATCTTAATAACAGGTGAAATCCCCAGAACATGGAAAGAAGCTTATGTAACATTGATCCCAAAACAAGATTTGGATTTAATGCAAATAAAAAATTACAGGCCTATTTCATTATTAAATAATGGTTATAAATTATTTGCAAACATATTAGCGAATAGGACGAAAAAAATCTTAGGTGAATATATACATCAACATCAGGCAGGGTTTTTTCCAGGCAGACAAATGAAAGAGAATATAAGAAATATTTTGAATGTGATAGAATACCTGGAGGTAAAAAATGAAAAAAAAGAAGCAATGATGTTTATAGGTGCCGAAAAAGCTTTTGACAATGTTTCCACTGTATTTTAATTCTTTGTTGGAAGCTGCCCAGAGTGGCTGGGGAAACCCAGCCAGATGGGCGAGATATATTATTATTATTATTATTATTATTATTATTATTATTATTATTATTTCTTCCTGGGACTTCATGAAAAAAATACTTGAAGAAATAAATTGTGGATATAAATTTTTTAAAGGGTTACAAGCAATATATTCAGAACAAACTGCAAAATTAAGTGTAAATCAGGTGATAACGAATTAATGTAAAATACAAAAAGGAACTATAGGCAAGGATGTCCGTTGTCACCGCTATTGTTCATCCTGGTCCTGGAAGTACGTGCAAGAAATATAAGCACGGACAAAGAGATTAAAGGGATAAAAACTGGGGCGGGGGGGGTGAATTTAAGATGAAAGCCTTTGCTGGTGATTTAGTAATCACAGTAGAAGATCCAAAAAATTCTCTTCCTAGAGTAATAGAGAAAATTCCAGAATTTGGGGAAGTGGCAGGATTCAAATTAAATAGAAATAAAACTAAATTATTAGTTAAAAATTTAAAAGAGGAAGAGAAAAAAGATTTGGTGCAAAGTATTGGTTTGTGGGAACCATGTGGGAACCAATGACACTGCAAGCAATAGCCTCCAGAAGATCAAAAGAGACTACGAGGCTCTGGGCAGGAAATTGAAGCAATTAAATGCACAAATTGTCATCTCATCTGTCCTCCCAGTTGAACGACGTGACCCAGGGAGAGAGGGAAAAATAGTGGAAGTGAACAGCTGGCTTCGCAAATGGTGTAAACAGGAACAATTTGGATTCTTAGATCACGGACTGCAGTTTCTTGAAGATGGACTTCTGGCAAGCGATGGGGTCCTCCTCACAATGGTTGGGAGGAATGTTTTTGCCAAAAATCTCAGAAACCGCATCAGGAGGGCTTTAAACTGACTAATGTGGGGGAGGGAGTCAGTGCTCCTGAAGGTAGGAGTCTATCAATTGATGAAGATGATCATCCAAATGTCATAGACCAAATGGAGCAAACAGCACGCAGACCTAGTGGTGGGAGGAAAAAATCCTTAAATAAGAGACACGGGGGAATGATTAATGGACTTCAATGTCTGTACACTAATGCGCAAAGCATGGGAAATAAACAAGATGAGCTTGAGCTCTTGGTACAGCAAACCAAATATGACATAATAGGCATCACTGAAACCTGGTGGGATAAGTCCCACGATTGGAATGTAATAATGGAGGGATACAATCTATTTCAGAGAAACAGACCAGACAAGAAAGGAGGAGGAGTGGCGTTATATGTCAGGGATGTGTATACCTGTGAAGAGATCCAAGATTTAGAACCTCAAAGCCAAAGTGAGAGCATTTGGGTCAAAATTAAGGGAGAGAAGAATAACAGAGACCTCATTGTGGGAGTTTACTATAGATCCCCAAGCCAAACGGAGGACATAGATGATGCCTTCCTGGAACAGATGGCCAAGCATACAAAAGGAAGGGAGATAGTAGTAATGGGGGACTTCAATTACCCGGATATTTGTTGGATGTCAAACTCAGCCAAGAGCATAAGGTCAAACAGATTCCTCAGTGGCCTTGCAGACAACTTCATTGTCCAGAAAGTGGGAGAAGCAACAAGAGGAACAGCCATTTTAGATCTGGTCCTAACCAATGTTGAGGACCTGGTTAGTGGGGTAGAAGTGGAAGGATCATTAGGCACGAGTGATCATGCTCTTCTGAAGTTTACTATACAACGGAAAGGAGCAGCCAAGCATACTAGGACTCAATTTCTTGACTTTAAGAAAGCCGACTTCATAAACTTAGGGAAGTGCTAGGTGAGATCCCATGGACAGTAATACTAAAAGGAAAGGGAGTTCATGATGTCTGGGAGTTTGTTAAGAGGGAGATAGTAAAAGCACAACTTCAGGCAATACCAATGAGATGGAAACATGGAAGGTGCCTAAAGAAGCCAGGGTGGCTATCTAAACAACTTTTAACTGAGTTAAGATTAAAAAAGGATGTGTACAAAAAATGGAAAAGGGGGGAAACCACCAAAGAGGAATTCAAACAAATAGCCAGCACATGTAGACACAAAGTCAGAAAAGCTAAAGCATAGAATGAACTCAGGCTTGCTAGAGAGGTTAAAAGCAACAAAAAAGGCTTTTATGGGTATGTCCGTAGCAAAAGGAAGAACAAAGAAACAGTGGGGTCACTCAGAGGAGAAGATGGTGAAATGCAAACAGGGGACACAGAAAGGGCTGAACTCCTCAATGCCTTCTTTGCCTCAGTCTTCTCCGATAAAGAAAACAATGCCTGACCTGAAGAATTTGGAGCAAATGATTCAGCAGAGGAAACACAGCCCAGAATAACTAAGGAGATAGTACAAGAATACTTGGCTAGTTTAGATGTATTCAAGTCTCCAGGGCCAGATGAACTGCGTCCAAGAATATTAAAAGAACTGGCAGATGTGATTTCAGAACCACTGGCAGTCATCTTTGAGAATTCCTGGAGAACAGGCGAAGTCCCGGCAGACTGGAGGAGGGCAAATGTCCCTATTTTCAAAAAGGGGAAAAGAGAGGACCCAAATAATTATTGCCCAGTCAGTCTGACATCAATACCAGGGAAGATTCTGGAGCAGATCATTAAGCAAACAGTCTGTGAGCACCTAGAAAGGAATGCTGTGATCACCAATAGTCAGCATGGATTTCTGAAAAATAAGTCGTGTCAGACTAACCTGATCTCGTTTTTTGACAGAATTACAAGCCTGGTAGATGAAGGGAACGCAGTGGATGTAGCTTACCTTGATTTCAGCAAGGCATTTGACAAGGTGCCCCATGATATTCTTGTAAAGAAGTTGGTAAAATGCGGTCTTGACTATGCTACCACTCAGTGGATTTGTAACTGGCTGACTGACCGAACCCAAAGGGTGCTCATCAATGGTTCCTCTTCATCCTGGAGAAGAGTGACTAGTGGGGTGCCACAGGGTTCTGTCTCGGGCCCGGTCTTATTCAACATCTTTATCAACGACATGGATGATGGACTCAAGGGCATCCTGATCAAATTTGCAGATGACACCAAACTGGGAGGGGTGGCTAACACCCCAGAGGACAGGATCACACTTCAAAACGACCTTGACAGATTAGAGAACTGGGCCAAAACAAACAAGATGAACTTTAACAGGGAGAAATGTAAAGCATTGCACTTGGGCAAAAAAAAAAAAAAAAGAGAGGCACAAATACAAGATGGGTGACACCTGGCTTGAGAGCAGTACATGTGAAAAGGATCTAGGAGTCTTGGTTGACCACAAACTTGACATGAGCCAACAGTGTGACATGGCAGCTAAAAAAGCAAATGCAATTCTGGGCTGCATCAATAGGAGTATAGCATCTAGATCAAGGGAAGTAATAGTGCCACTGTATTCTGCTCTGGTCAGACCTCACCTGCAGTACTATGTCCAGTTCTGGGCACCACAGTTCAAGAAGGACACTGACAAACTGGAACGTGTCCAGAAGAGGGCAACCAAAATGGTCAAAGGCCTGGAAACGATGCCTTATGAGGAACGGCTAAGGGAGCTGGGCATGTTTAGCCTGGAGAAGAGGAGGTTAAGGGGTGATATGATAGCCATGTTCAAATATATAAAAGGATGTCATATAGAGGAGGGAGAAAGGTTGTTTTCTGCTGCTCCAGAGAAGCGGACATGGAGCAATGGATCCAAACTACAAGAAAGAAGATTCCACCTAAACATTAGGAAGAACTTCCTGACAGTAAGAGCTGTTCGACAGCGGAATATCCTACCAAGGAGTGTGTTGGAGTCTCCTTCTTTGGAGGTATTTAAGCAGAGGTTTGTCAGGAGTGCTCTGATGGTGTTTCCTGCTTGGCAGGGGGTTGGACTCGATGGCCCTTGTGGTCTATTCCAACTCTATGATTCTATGATTCTATGGAGATAGAAATCCATAAAAAAGTAAAATATTTAGGGATATGGTTAACTACAAGAAATATAAACATGTATAAAGACAATTATGAAAAAGTATGGTCTGAGATAAAAAGGAATTTAGAAATATGGAGTAGAATGAACCTTTCCCTACTAGGAAGAATTGCAGCGGTAAAAATGAATGTGTTGCCAAAAATGCTCTTTCTCTTCCAGACAGTCCCAGTAATGGTTAAGGATGATTGCCTCAAAAGATGGCAAAAAGATATCTCTAAGTTGACTTCCGGTTGGTTGCCCGGTTATGGTGGAGGGGAGTTCTTTTGGCTGAAAGAGCCCCGGTGCATTGAAGGCTGGGGAGACCGTGAGTGTTGCGGTACCCCAAAAAAACCCTCAGATTGAGTATTCTGAGGATCTGGTGTTTCTGCGGGTGCCCAGAACGACTCCCCCCGCTCCCCGGTAAGCTCTTGTAAAGAGCCCCGAGAGCGAGCGGGGTTGGAGACGTGGGCACTTTGTAATCAACTCGCTTTCTTCATTGCGCGAAGCTCCGAGTCCGGCATTTGTGAGCGGCCAATTTCTCAAAATAAATTTGGAAAATCTTCAGTAAAAAGGACTTAAAATTTGGACATTTAATTTGACAGGAAGGGACTTAAACACGGAGGTTGGTCCCTTTCCGCTGGAATAAAAGTGAAAACAGCTACCGCTGCCCGAAGCTGTGAGCTGAATAAGACTTTTAGAAAAAACGAAACTGGAAATGGAGTTGTTAGATACTAAAGTTAAAAATTTATCTAAAATGTATAATCTGCTGTTGGTGTGGCATACAAAGGATGAACAAGTTAAATCTGTTATGATTGATTGGGCAAGAAATGTTGGACACAATATAATGTTGGAAGATTGGGAAAGGTTGTGGAAGAAAGGGGTTAAGTTTACTGCATGTACTGTATTAAAAGAAAACATAATGAAAATGATGTATAGATGGTACTTAACGCCAGTAAAATTGGCAAAGATCTGCCACACGAATGACAATATATGTTGGAAATGTAGAGAAAAAGAAGGTCCTTTTTTTCACATGTGGTGGACATGGCCCAAGGTGAAAGACTTCTGGGAAAAGATTTATAATGAATTGAAAAAAAATGTTGAAAAATACATTTATTAAGAAACCAGAGGCCTTTCTACTTGGAATAATAGGATTGGAATTACCCCCAAAAAATGTTAGATGATTTTTGTATGCAACCACAGTGGCAAGATTGTTATTAGCCAAAAAATGGAAATCCCAAGAAATCGCAATGGTGGAAGAATGGCAGATGAAGATGCTGGATTTTTGGGAGCTAGCTGACCTGATTGGAAGAATCCGCGGCCAGAAAGAAGAGGATCACCAAGAAGATTGGAAGAAATTTAAGGATTAATTTAATTTAATTTAATTTAACTAGTAGTCACTTGAAAGTACCAAATAGAGCTAGGATTAAAATAAAATTGAATTGTAGCTAATTTGGATTTGGAATATTAAGACATGAAAGAAGATAGTTAATTGACATGACAGAATTAATTTTAGTAGAAAAATGATACTGGAGAGCTGTTATAAGGTGATACAATGAAATTCATATAGGAGGGATCCGAGGAAGTCAATTAACAATTAAAGATAAATTGGGTTTCACAAGTAATATGTGGTTTAATTTTTTTGTTTTGCTTTTTTAGTATTTTAATGTGTTTTTCTTTTGTGTGTTTTTCTCTTTTCGATGTTATATTTGTTATAATTGTGGAAAATTTAATTTAAAAAAATTGGGGGGGAGTTTATCTGGGGGGCAAAAGGCCAAGGATTAAACATAAGATACTTACAGATATAAAAGAAAGAGGAGGCTTTGCCCCCCCAGATTTTAAACTGTATTATGAGGCTGCATGTTTGGTCTGGATTAGGGACTGGATAAAACTGGAAAGGGAAGAAGCATTAGATTTGGAAGGTCATGATAACAGATATGGATGGCATGCATTCTTATGGTATGGGAAAGGGAAAGTACATAAAGGATTTTACAATCACATAATTAGAAGATTATTAATGAGAGTGTGGGAGAGTACAAAGATTTAATAGAACAAAAAACACCTTGGTGGTTATCACCAATTGAAGCTTTGTTACTCAAACTGCTTGGCAAAAGGGGAAAGTGGCCCACATATAGAGACCTACTGAGAGACCAAGAAGGAAAATGGAAATTAAAAGATTACGAGGAAATTAAAGATCATGTGCAGAGTTGGTTGCATTACAGACAAAGGGTTTAGCTATACAATCTCTAGATTCCAAAAGGAGGTTATAGAAGAAGTGAAGTTATTGAAGAAAGCATATAGTATTCTGCTAGAATGGGAAACGAAAGATGAGGAGGTTAAATCAGTCATGATTAAATGGGCACAAGACATAGGACAAAATATACAATTTGAGGATTGGGAAAAGCTGTGGAAGGTAGATTTGAAATTTATAGATTGTTCTCTTTTGAAAAAAAATTATATGAACATAATGTATAGATGGTATATTACACCAGTAAAAATGGCAAAAATGTATAATACTGGGTCAAATACATGTTGGAAATGTAAAGAAAAAGAAGGTACTTTGTATCATATGTGGTGGGAATGTAGATAAGTTTTTTTAAAAAATGGGAGGTGATATACAATGAATTGAAAAAGTGTTCAAAATGACATTTGTAAAAAAACCAGAAGCATTTTTGTTAGGGATTTTAGGACAACACCTGCCAAGAAAAACAAAGAACTTATTTATGTATGCTAAAACAGCGGCAAGAGTCTTGTTAGCACAAGGATGGAAGAATGAGGAAATCCCAATGAAAGAACAATGGCAAGAAAAACTGATGAGCTATGCGGAGTTAGCAAAGTTAACACATAAACTGTGTGAGAAGGACAACCGTGCCTTCAAGGAAGAATGGGAACTATTTACAAAACTATTCAAAAAGACAACAAATGGATTTGGACTCCTTGGCAGGTTTTGAATAAACATCCACAAATTTAGTAGTAGAACATATGACAGAAAAAGTAATGATATGTACAACTTTACAACATGCAGAGAATCATATGTATGAACAAATCAGAGAGGGGAGCTGAAGGTCTCTGGAGGGCGGGAGAGGGAGGGAGGGGAGAAATGTAATTGGTTATATTTGATTTATAATTTGATTTGTTAAATATGCTTAATAAAAATATAAGGAAAAAAGAAAAAAGAAATATTCTCCTTTTAAACTTCCAAGTTTAGAGTTAACTTACTCTTTGAGCCAGCTCTACAGCTGTTATATTTGGATCATATGGGATGGGTTCTCCAATAAATGTCCTCAATTTCACTGGAAACCCTCCGTAAATGAGGACGAATATACCTCGAGTTTTATCATACAGCCATTTTGTCAGCCCTGTGTATGAAATGGAAGAAGATTCTGAAGTAAAGTGACACCATATCAAATTTGAAATTAGTTGACATTCTCAGTGTTTAGCAATTGCAATAAATACATCCCAGAGAGGAAGAGTTAAATAAAGTGAGTGCTTGGGAAAAGAGATACAAGATATTCAGTCAGCTCTTTGCAATCAGTCATAAATTGTGTACAATAGACTGCAGAATATGGTATGTTTCCTGTTCACTTCCCCTCCATGTTAGGGTTGCTCCCACATTTATCGATTATAGCTTTCTGTTAAATCTAATAGAAAACTAAGCAAGGCCATGTTCACTCAGTACTGAGGCAGGCAGCACAGCTTTTGCAGATAAGTGTAAAATTTATGCAGGATTATTGGCTAACAGGTTGAAAAAAATTATAGGAAAAATAGTGCATAAAAATCAGGCTGGATTTGTGGAAGGAAGACAAATAAAGGATAATATTAGAAATATAATAGATATAATGGAATATCTACAAGTAAGAAGTGATAAACAAGCAGCCCTGATTTCAATCGATGTGGAGAAGGCTTTCGATAAAGTCTCATGGGAATTTATAAAAAAACTATTAAAAGAATTGTGTCTAGGCGAAAAATTCCAAAAAGGTATAAATGCAATATATAACCAACAGAAAGCAAAAATTATTATTAATGGAGAATTTGGAGAAGAAATCAATATCTTTAAAGGTACAAGACAAGGATGCCCCCTATCCCCAATGTTATTTATAATAGTATTAGAGGTTCTATTAAAGAAAATAAGGCAGGACAGCCAAATAAGAGGAATAATAGTTGGTGAAAAAAGATACAAGTTAAGAGCCTTTGCAGATGACGTTATGATCACAACAGAAAATCCCCTACAATGCACACCTAGAATATTGGAATGTATAAATGAATATGGCAGATTAGCAGGATTCAAATTAAACTATGGGAAAACCAAAATACTAGTGAAAAATATGGAAGAAAAAGATAAAGTGAAATTACAAGAAATTACAGGATTGGAAATTAAAAAGAAAATAAGGTATCTTGGAATAAATTTAACACCAAACACTATAGATTTAAGTAAAGAGAATTATGGGAAAACATGGAATGAAATAAAAAATGATTTGCAAATATGGGGGAAATTAAATCTTTCCTTACTAGGGAGAATATCGGTAATAAAGATGAACATATTACCAAGGATGATGTTTTTATTTCAAAGTATCCCAATACTAGGAGGAGATATATTGTCAGGGGTTCAGAGACAGAGGCACAGGTGAGGGGGGAGACGGAGAGCGATGAGGAAGAATCCCAGGACAGTGAGGAAGAGGATGACAATGACTTGAGGTCTTCCATGAGTCTCTCAAGTGAATCGGAGGATTCCCAGGAGGGGGCGCCCCTAGTCAGGACAAGGGGGGTCACAGGGGGGACCTGCCAGGAGCAGGGAAGCAGCAGGGAAACCCCGAGTGGGAGTGGGAGATCGGAGCCGGCTTCCCAGCAGGAACGAAGTGAAAAGAGGGGAGTTCCCAGTGTGACACACGGAGCGGAGCAGGAAAGAGACAGGGGAAGGAGATCGGGGCAGGACGTCCTGCCGGAAGAGGCGGAGAGTAGTACAGGGAGTAGTGTAAGTGTCAAGAGGAAGGTCAGGGGTAGCGAACGCGCGCCAAGTTCAAATGTGGAGGCGCGCGGAAATGGAGGAAGCCCGGAGGAGGAGCCTAGCCCCAAAGCACGAAGGAGGGGGGAACAGGCATCTGAGGAATCCGCTTCAGGAGACAGCAGGAGGGAAGGAACCCAGGGGGGCAGGAAGACCCTGCGGAAAAGGAAAGACAGGAAGAGGTGGTCTAGCACAAGCCTCTTAAGCTGGTGTAGAGGCGGGACCGACTCAGAGGGGACTTCAAACGTCTAGGCTAAAAGACGCGGGGCTGCACGCCTCGGTTGTGGAACCAATAATGAACTGCAATAAACATCCTTGTATATAAGAAGAGCTTGGCGTTGGTCTTTTGTGAGCTGAGACCTGAGGCAGCCTCTGACATATATGTTTTAATAACTGGAATAGAGATTTGGCTAAATTCGTGTGGTCAGGAAAAAAACCAAGAATAAAACACAAAATAAGGATAGATAAGGAGAGAGGAGGATTTGGCCTCCCTGACATGGAGTTATATCATGATGCGGTGGGTCTGACCTGGCTAAAAGAATGGATCAAATTAGATGACTCGGATGTATTGAATTTACAGGGAGTAGAGACGAGATTTGGATGGCATGCCTATCTAATAGATGAAAAAGTCAAAGTGCATAAAGGCTTCCTAGGGCATATAGTTAGAAAGTCTATATATAAAATATGGGAGAAATATAAAAGACTCCTAGAACCGAAAACTCCTTGGTGGGCATCGCCAGCAGAAATTGGCGCAATGAAAAAATTAAATATGAAAGAAAACTGGGCTACCTATAAAATGGTATTAAAGGAAGAAAACGGAGAATTGGAATTAAAGGATTATACAGAAATTAAAGCTCATATTAGTGATTGGTTTCAATATATTCAAATTAAGTACAGATTAGCGAAAGACAAAAAGTTAGGATTTGAAAAAGAAATATCAAAATTCGATAAATACTTAATACAAGAAAAATCAAAAAATATATCTAAATTGTATAATTTGATCTTAGAGTGGGAAACAAAGGATGAATTAGTTAAAGTATCAATGATCAAATGGGCGCAAGATATTGGGGAAAATATTATGTTTGAACAATGGGAAAAATTGTGGAAGGAAGATATGAAATTCACTATGTGTTATATATTGAAAGAAAATTATCTCAAAATGCAACACAGATGGTATTTAACACCTGAAAGAATAGCAGAAATGAATAAAAATTGCAGCGATGTCTGCTGGCGATGCAACACTGGAAAAGGTACTATGTTACATATATGGTGGAATTGTTTAAACATCAAACAATTTTGGGAAACAGTATATAACGAAATGAAAAAAATGTTCAGATATTCATTTAGGAAAACAGCAGAAGGTTTTTTATTGGGAATAGTACCAGGAAGCCTAAAGGAAGAAGACAAGACCTTATATTTATACGCAACAGTAGCCGCAAGGCTATTGATTGAGAAAAATTGGAAAAGTGGTACTGCACCAACAAAGATAGGGTGGCTTGCCAAATTATTGGAGTACTACAATATATCCAAAACAATGGGAGAAATTGGAAGGATCTCAAAAGAGAAGGCAGACAGGGACTGGAAGGTGTTTAAAAGATACTTGCAAAACTATATCGAAAAATCAGAACTCCTATTAGAATAAACAAGTCTCGTTTCAAATATTAGAATACTAAATAAGATGGATAACAATGTCTAATAGAAAAAGAAATATGAAATTAGGTTAAAGGTGTGTGAAAGAAAGTAATAGAAGTAGAAAGAAATTGCAATTGAGTAGATTGGAAGTCTAACACAAAGGGTGAGGGGTGGTGGATGGTGATGGGAATTATCTGTGGGATTGAGTGTAGGTATGTTGTAGGTATGCTGTAGGTATGTAGGTATGTTGTATGAAATGTATGTTTGTATGTTTGTATGTGTATTAATATTGAATTATTTTAACAATAAAAAAATTAAACAAAACAAACAAAACTAAGCAAGGGCATGTTCACTCAGTACTGAGGCAGGCAGCACAACATTGCAGATAAGTGTACATGGAATAAAATCTATTAGTGAGTAGTAAATAGATATTCTTTTTAAAAGATCATTCTATATTATTAAAATGTATATTGCCTGAGATCTCTTGATCAACCAAGGTCTTTAACTTACTTGTCTTTCCAATGGTCCTGTATGCTTCACAACTGTTTTGTGTAAAAATAGGGATGATGGGCTAAAAAAATAAAAGATGAAACAAACATGAAAAGAAAGGTGAGGACTGGATAATTATTTTGTCCCAACCATCCTGCCTTTATTTTTGTTATGGACTACGAAGAATGCTTCACATCTGGGATTATAATGAGAAGCAACTCATAAATGATAATGTATTTGGCTTTATTTATTTATTTTAATTACTTTTTTTGATTTTCAAAAACAAAACAAAATTAAATAAAACTTTAACTTTAACATTCAACCTTTTTTATCTTCTTATTTACCCTGCGCAATTTCACGCCCTGACTTCCCTCCTTCCCTGCTTTGGTTTTCCCAGTTTTCATCCGTTCCTGCAGATTCTTAATTACATTCTATATACATCATGTTAGCCCTGCTACAGTTTTTAAACTTCTACAGTTATTTCGTATATACACAACAAATTTACTCCACTCCTCCTCAAACTTTGTCACTTTTTGGTCTCAAATTTTATAACTCATTTTTGCCAATTCAGTATACTCGAATTATTTCGTCTGCCACTCCATTAGGGTTGGTAACTCTAGGGATTTCCACTTTTGGGCCACAAGAATCCTTGCGGCAGTCGTGGCATACAAGAGTAATTTGCAGTCTTCTTTTCTCACTTCATCTCCTATTATCCCTAATAAAAAAGCCTCTGGTTTCTTTGGGAATGTATATTTGGAAAAAACCAAACCATTTCATTGTATATCATATCCCAAAACTTTTTCATTTTTCGCATGTCCACCACATGTCTAAAAATTCTCCATCCTTTAATGTACACTTCCAGCAGGCTCTATCTCGCATTTTATACATTTTTGCCAATTTACTCAGGGTTATATACCACCGATACATCATTTTACTTAGGTTTTCTTTTAGAGTGGAACACGCTATGAATCTCATACCTTCATTCCATAGTCTTACCCATTTGTCATGGTCAATGTTATAACCGAAATCTACTGCCCATTTTATCATTACTTCTTTTATTAGTTCATCTTTGGTATCCCATTCTAATAAATGTTCATACATTTTAGATAGGAGTTTTGTTCTGCCTTCTAAAATTTCAATTTGGTATCTTGATTTCCCCCCTCTAAATCCCAATTTCTTATCCTCTTTTAATAAACCATTCACCTGGTGATTTTGTATCCATCCCATAAAAGCACTTTTTATATTGTCATATGGTTTTAGCTTCCACCCGTTCTCAGCTTTCACTAAAATATCTTCATAAGTTAGTCTCTTCCCTTCCATATTTAACTTTTTTATTGTCAGTACATCTATCGGGGATAGCAACCAAGGTGTAGTTCTTTCTACTAAATTTTTATTCTTGTCCCATACCTCATACAGGACACCCCTAAATATATGGTTTGTAAATCCTTTATGTATTTTCACCTTATTATACCATAAGTAGGAGTGCCACCCATATCTATTATTGTGCCCTTCTAGATCCAGTAAATCGGTGTTTTTCATTTGACCCCCAAACAGGATATTTGCCATCCTCAACTTTTTTGGATGCTGGATCAAGGATGTCAACACATTACGTCTTATCTAGGATATTCGTAAAGGCAATGCAAATTGCACAAAGATCACTCACCACTTTCGCCTCCAAAGCTGCCTGAGCAAAACCTGTGCGTTTCTCCCACATTATGCCGTAATCGTGACTAAACAGTGCTTCTCTAGCTCCACCAGGTGCAATGCCCATTAAATGGCCTTTCTTCATCATTTCCACAATTTCAGCTTTATTGTAAGATTTCAACCCGCTCACATAAAAAACCATCTGCAGCCCTGAAAAAATAAGCCCCAAATAGAAGAGTGCATTTTATGTGAAACTTATTTAGGAAATAGTGTGGATTCACTACAAGTGTCATTATTCCCAATATATTGCACTATTATGGATCACAAGCATAGCTCTCTGCCAATCCATTTCAACTAGGATTTCATGGATGGGGACTTTAGGCTAATTCCTCTTTTGCCCAGAGGTTCTGACAGTAGCGGGGTTTTTTTGGAAAGCACATTGAGTGGGGTTGAGTGCTGAGGTGGCCACTTTTTAGACATGTGTTCCTCAGGTCTGTAATACATTCAAGTTTGCATTATGATAAAAATACAGCTCATGGTGCCTTGCTGCACCATCCAAACCTTCAATCCCTTTAGGGTGCAGAGCTTTTGGATACAGTGGTACCTCGGGTTACATACACTTCAGGTTACATACGCTTCAGGTTACAGACTCCGCAATCCAGAATTAGTACCTCGGGTTAAGAACTTTGCTTCAGGATGAGAACAGAAATCTTGCTCCGGCAGCGCGGCAGCAGCAGGAGGCCCAATTAGCTAAAGTGGTCTTCAGGTTAAGAACAGTTTCAGGTTAAGAATGGACCTCTGGAACGAATTATGTACTTAACCTGAGGTACAACTGTACAGTAGACACACACACACACACAGAGAGAGAGAGAGAGAGAGAGAGAGAGAGAGAGAGAGACATGGCACAGAGGAGACAATGCTGATGGAAAACTGCCTCCACCAGCTGAGATTAGTACACAGATATATGAGTGGAGGTTATATGCTGCATTAATTAACCTAGTAGAAAGGACTCTTTGCTACTGGGCCTCTTTGGACTCCTTCCTTCCTTCCTTCCTTCCTTCCTTCCTTCCTTCCTTCCTTCCTTCCTTTAAATGACCTTTCTGTGATGTCATAGTTTCCTGGTGTGGCTGCTGTGTGCATGCAGAGGAAGATGATGTGGGGGGAGAGGCAGTGGAGGGCCATGACCTGTACAGCAAGGGTGCCACATGTGTTTGACTGCAGTGTCACATGGGGGCATAAAAGCTGTGTGTGGGAGTGCTTGATAGGCCATGTGTTCGGGTGGGGCCATGTTTCCTGGGATCTGTGTGCAGATTTGGTTGGACTTGCTATGAATGCCACGGACATGTCTTTGGGGCTTCACTTGGGCTTCTGACCTTTTCCTTAGCTGTAGCTCCCACCCCATCCCAGCTGCCACCCAGTGGTGTTTAAATTCAGAGGTACAACAGTTGTACAAAAAGCATAGAATTTCTGCATGGAAACCATTTCTGCTGATTCAGTTGTGAATTGGAAATAATAATTCAGACTACATTCATTTTGTCTTACTAGTAAAGACATGGTGAGAAAGTATTTTTAATCTTTTGTTGGAATGTGCACAGAGTGGCAGGGGAAACCCAGCCAGCTGGGTGGGGTATAAATAATAAATTATTACTATTATACCTTCATCTGCACTAACTAAACTATTTCACCTGTTGCTGCTATTTCATTTATCAGTTGTTTTTCACCTGTTTTCCTGATATATAGTTTTGTATTTTATAGCATTGTTTCAAAGCTTATAGCATTGTTTTTTGTCATATTTTAGATGAGTTAATTTTAATTTGATTTTTGTCATATTTTACATGAGTTAAATTTAAATAGTTTACCTGGTATCCAATTCCCCAAATGATGAATTAATGAAAAGCACAGTCTCCCCGTCTCTAAAAAATATCTAGCCGCAAATAAGGAATAGCCGAGAGGAGCAACTCCATGATGATAAATAATAATCCCTGGTCCTTTAGGGAGATGCTCCATGCCAGTAACTTCATAACCTGAAAATAATACAAAATGCAACAAAGAAATATCGCAACCATTATTGGCGGAAATCAGAGTGGTTCAGAAAAAAAATGAAATTTAAGATCAGGTTAAAAGCTCTGTTATACGCTTTTGAATTATGGTGCTGGAGGAGATCTCAGAGTTCCCATGGACTTGGTAAGAAGTTCAAACTATCCATTGTCTTAAGGAAATCAGCCCGCCTGAGTGCTCACTGTAAGGCAGATCCTGAAGCTGAGACTCCATACTTTGGCCACCTCATGAGAAGAGAATCCTCCTGGAAAAGACCCTGATGTTGGGAAGATTGAAGCACAAGAGAGGGCGACAGAGGACAGATGTGGACAGTGTTCCGAAGCTAAGCATGAATCTGAACACGGGAGCAGTGGAAGACAGAGTGCTGCATGCTCTGGTCCATGGGTCACGAAGATCAGAACGACTATGACAACACAATGACAATAGCTCCAGATTCTGGATGCTAGTGTCATCCACATGGATCAGACTTTCTTGTGTGTCCCTTATGATGAGGATTCCGACAGGAAATAGTTTTCAGTGGAAGGTCGAAATTAGAAACAGATGTTAGAACCCAATACAGAACTGTCAGAATGATAATTGCTGCGAAATGGAACACAAGATGATCAGCTATGATAAATGACAAGACATAGGTCTGCATTATGTTTGAAGACTGGAAGCTGTGGAATCTGGTGTTAATCACGCTGTATGTTTGAGAGAAATATATAAAAGTCTATAGTGGTAATGACGTCAAACTTGCAAAATTACCACTTGCCCAATAATAAAGTTGGAATGTATGAAACTGAAGGACTTTCTATCACCTTTGTGACCTGCCGAGAAAGCCTACTGGAATATCTATAAGAAATCAAAAAGGTCCTTAATGACAAAAAACCAAGGCTTTCCCTGGCATGCAATTGTGCCAGAGACAGACCTTTTTCATGGTATGCTACCAGCAGCAAGGATTCTCTGCATATTGGAAACGCACAGCTACCACTCTGAAGACAAGCGAAGTGATTGCTACATGATGCTGTGACCGCGATCGTGACCAGGGGAAAGAGACAGTGGAAGATTGGAAAAATTTAAAGTATACCTTAAAACGTGTAAAATGAAGAGTGCTGAGATTTATGGTTTAGAATAGAGAATTGCGCTTATATCATAATTAAGGAGCTATATGAAGACGAATTAATATGAAATGAAGGTTGCTGTTAAGGGAAAAAATAGGTGCAGAAAAAGAGTATGGGAAGTCCGGAAACAAGTTGAAGGAGAATGGTTTTGAATTATACAGTTATTGTTATTTGTTTGTTTTGTTGTTTCTTATTATATGTTGGAAAATAATAAAAATTTAAAAAAAAAATGAGGGATTCTCCTCTTGTGAATGTTCCTTCTGCTTCCTTTTGACACAGGTGGAAACATTTTTGCCCAGACTTTGAGTGAGCTAAAACTCTGTTTTGCTGTTTTAGTCTACTTTAAGCTTTTATATAGGGTTTAGCCCTTGAGACAGTTTAATATGTTGTTATAGTTATACTAAATTTTTCTGAGACTTTTTTAATTTAAAGAGTAGTATCCCCCTTCTGTATGAGAGCTATCCAGGGCCTGGAGTATATTTCTTCCCCGTCCCAAAGAGCTCCAACTTCAGGCATCTTCAGACCATTCTCTGAATCTCTTTCTACCAAGTGAGAAAGCTGTTTCCTAGACACACACACCCTTGACCATGCCCTAAGTAGCTACACGGTCTCATCCTTATGGCCCAAACTTGGTTTTAGTCGTGTATTTCTGATTTAAGTTTCAACACTTACAGTAACATGAGACCTGTGGGAAGCACTGAGAACATATAAAGAGTCCTATGGATCAGGCCAAAGGCCTCTGTTTCCCGCAGTGTCCATCTAAATTAGTAGCCATTACCACATCCTGTGCTGGCAAATTCCATAGTTTATGTACATACAGTGGTACCTTGTGTTACAGATGCTTCAGGGTACAGAGGCTTCAGGTTACAGACTCCACTAACCCAGAAATATTACCTCGGGTTAAGAACTTTGCTTCAGGATGAGAACAGAAATTGTGCTCCGGTGGCACGGCAGCAGCAGGAGGCCCCATTAGCTAAAAGTGATGCTTCAGTTTAAGAACAGTTTCAGGTTAAGAACGGCCCTCCGGAACGAATTAAGTATTTAACCCGAGGTACCACTGTACATAAATAAATAGCCATGCCTTTGTTTTGATCCTTATGTAGCCAACCCAAACTTGTAGCTTTTGTGACTCTGAGGGGGTTCAGAGGTCCAGTCCTGATTCACTGTGGCTACTGTTGTACCAGGTGCTTCAAGCCTGAAATTCTTATCCCGTCCTATGAAATTATAGTGACTCTTAAGGAAGAATTATTGCTATGAAAGAAACTTTTACTCACCATGCCATATCTTTCCATATATATCTACAATATGAGAAATAAATTTCCTTGGCTTTTTCCAAATTTTGCTATCAGGACCAGTTTCTTGGTGCTTATTCAACTTCTTGTAAACATATAGCCCAAATGAGCAAGCACAGCCAACCAAATATATATCTATCATTAATGAACAAAGCAAAATCAGAAGCTTACGAAACCACCAAGGGTGAACCACTGAGCTCAGGTATTCTTCTAAATAAGGAAAACTAATCAAGTTTTGCAACATTAAACCAGCTCATTGTTTCCTGATCTGAAGCACCAAGCGTATGTCAATGAAATAAATATATGAAGTGAAATTTTCTTCAGTTGTGATGCTATTTCCCCCACTGTTTACCTGTAAAACAGAAAATGCAGTACATTGGTTTGATCTGTCATCCCAGGAACATTCATGAATACATGAAAATCTCATGCTGCTTAATATTTTCCTAGTTTTCCCCACTGTAACTTGCCAAGTTGCCGTATTGTGTTTCCAACGTCCATCATGGAGACTTCCAAAATTACAAATATATGACTCCATCATTTATCTGTTGTAAAGCAAGCTGGTTTCATTCCACTGCTGAAGGTTTTTGTTTGTTTGTTTGTTTTGTTTTTTGCATTTTCAAAAACAGGAACAGAGAGCATCTTTTATCCAACATAGTCATGATGCCTTGAAGTAAAGTTGAAGGTCTGGCAGGGCAAACCTCCTCTTTCTTTTCATCAATCATAATTTTAAATTTTACTCTGGGCTTCATTCCCTGCCATATGAACCTTAATACTTTTTTCTGCCACTCTATGAAACATTAGATATCATTTATAATTGGAAGTACATTCATTTTGATGGCCAAAACAGTGATAGCTTCATTCTCTCCCATATTTCCAAATCTTTCTTTCTTTCCAAGCTTTTACATAGTTGTCTTGATAGATATTATGTTTTTTTATTGTTAACCAAATCCCCAGATATTTTATTTTTGTTTCTATTTCCCACCCACATTCCGATTCAATGTCTTTTTTTGTTTGATTATTCTTTATTTTTTTAGCAGCATCTTGATTTTCCCTTTATTTTGTTTGCAGCCAGCCAATTTTACAAATCTACTTATCCCTTCTGTCACCTCCAGTATCCTCATTCTGGGTTGTTCTAAGGTTAATACGATGTCATCCGCGAATGCTTTCAATTTGTAATTTTGCTGGCCCACTGTTATTCCATTGATTTCATTGTTAATCCTGATCTTTTGAGCCAGTACTTCTAATATTAATATAAATAACAGCGGGGACATTGCGCAACCTTGCCTCATCCCTTTATATATCATACATTTTTCTGATGTGTTGTTTACAATTATATTGGCCGTCTGCTCATTATAGATTGATTTTACACTTTTTATAAAGGTCTCCCCAAACCCCACTGCTGGAGTATTAAGGAAAGTGAGAAAGGGTCACTTCTCCAAGAGCCCGGCAAGGCCCTCTGCAGCCGCAGATATATCATGTGATGTATTGTGATGTTGTGGTATTTAGCTGGTAATATATTGTGATGTTATAAACCTGATATTGCCCAGCCCTAAAGCACATTGAAGACAGGCAGCATTTCTCTCTCTCTCTCTCTCTCTCTCTCTCTCTCTCTCTCTCTCTTTCTCTCTCTCTGCTGATGCCTGCACAGGAAGTGACAAATAGCACAACTACTAGCACATTTGCAAACGAAGCAGGGCCCAGTATGGTTTCAAATTGAATGAGAGACTTTGATGAGATTCCTGCATTGCAGGGGGTTGACTAGATGACCCTTGGGACCTTTCCAAATCTACACTTTATGATTATCTGAACAAAAACTTTTACTCACATTCCTGGTAAGCCTAAATTGCCTTTGCTTCAGTCACCTCTCTCTGGGAGCAGCAGAAGTCTTGTCTGGTGCACCTTTTCATAGGCTAATTTCCACCCCTATGGAGACATGTCCCTTTATGTGGCAGTTTAAAAACACTCTGATGGGTGTGCCATCTGAATGAGGAAACGAAGCATTGTGAAAAAGAGGGAGGGCTTGTGGAGGCTGCTTCTTGGAAGTTGTGGCCATTTTAATTAAATGTAAGTTATGGGGTCAAGATGTGCTTGCAAAATATCCTGCAATACGTAAACCTTGATAACATGTTCTGTTTGCAATATTGAATCCTAGCGCTGCATCAGAAAAAGTATTTGCTTTGGACCTCTCTCTTTAATTCAGAGCAATAATCACATACACATATGGTGGTCTGTTTTACTCTATTTTTCAGGGGAGAGGTATTCGTTGTGACAGAGTAGTAGTACTTTCCTGCATTAAGGGGTTTGATCAACAGGGGAGAAATAATTTGATAGCCTTACCTTGTTTAATTTGTTTGACATGATTAGTTTCTTCTAACTTTCTTTTTTGGAGTTTTCCACATCTACAATAGCAATCATATTGCACAATAACATACTGTGTCACAGAAAACCAGTTATTGCCTAAGGAGTAAAGGTAGTATTGCGGCACGTGTGTTACCTCCCTTTCCTGGTAGCTTCTCCCCCTTCAAATAAGGTACCAGATAGGATCACCCTGCAATAGATAAAGATTATGTATGGTAATCTTGGGGATTACCAGGACGTCGAAGGTTCTACAGGGATCAAAAGTGAGTTCCCAATGGGTTTGCAGCTCCATTTGTTGCTGGACTGACCCGGCTGTCAAACTGTGATCTATGGACTCCAATGCACTCCTGCAGCAGGCTGCCTCGAATTTCCTTCCCAGCGAGCAGCAGATTTCCCAGAAAATAAAACCAAGGAAAATACCTACTGCTTAGGTATTGAAGCCCCAGTAGCAGCCGCCGCAAGGGGGGTGGAAGTATTGGGACCCCTAATGGGAGAGGAAGGGCAGTTGCCACCCCAATACAAGGCCTACTGGGACATGTCCTGTGAGAAGGAGGCAGACAGTTTGCCTCTACATCGAACTTATGACTGTAAAATAGCCGATGTCTATTTGATGTCTGAGAAGGAGCTGACATCTCTCAAGGAGTTTCTCGAGAAGAGCCTGGCACGGGATTTTACCCAGCCATCCAAGGCGCCAGAGGGCTCTCCCATGCTGTCTGTAAAGAAAAAAGACACACCCAAACTGTGTCTCTGCATGGACTTTCACCAGATTATCCGCATCACGGTGCCCAATCGCTATCTCTTACCATGCATTGGGGATTTGCTAGAGAGGTTGAGGTCTGCAAAGATTTTCACAAAGCTGGATTTAAGGGGAGTGCGAGTGGCACTGTGGGTTAAACCACAGAGCCTAGGAATTGCTGATCAGAAGGTCAGCGGTTCGAATCCCAGCGACAGGGTGAGCTCCCATTGCTCGGTCCCTGCTCCTTCCAACCTAGCAGTTCGAAAGCACATCAAAGTGCAAGTAGATAAATAGGTACCGCTCCGGCGGGAAGGCAAACGGTGTTTCCGTGCACTGCTCTGGTTCGCCAGAAGCGGCTTAGTCATGCTGGCCACATGACCTGGTAGCTGTACGCCGGCTCCCTCGGCCAATAAAGCGAGATGAGCACCGCAACCCCAGAATCGGTCACAACCGGACCTAATGGTCAGGGGTCCCTTTACCTTTACCTTTACAATTTCATACGTATAAGGGAGGGAGATGAGTGGAAGACAACATTCTGCAGTTGTGGCAGTTTCAAATACTTGGTCATGCCTTTCAGGTTTCAATCAGGGACAGTGATGTGGCAAGCATTCATCAACCATGTGTTGGAGAACCTGGTGGACATGCAGGTTGTTTGTTATCTTCTGATGTATTCCGAGAACCCAAACAGCATGTACATCACATGACAGAGCTACGAAGGCTGAGAGAGCATTGCCTTTACACAAAGTTGGAGAAATGCCAGTTCCACGTCTCAGAAGTAGAGTTCTTGGGGTACCGTGTAACGCCAAGTGAAATGCACATGGATCTGGCCAAGGTGCAGGTGGTAGTGTCATGGAAGGAGATCAAAACCAAAAAGGACTTGCAAAGGTTTTGTGGGTTCGCGAACTACTATCACAAGTTCGTGTCTGGCTACTCCAGGCTCACGGCGCCTCTTACGGACTCCTTGAGGGTAAAATAAAACGCTTCCTGTGGACAGCAGAGGCTCAGCAGGCATTTGAGCAACTCAAAGCCGTATTCACCTCAGAGGAGTATCTAGCCCATGCCGACTCCCAGCATGGTGGTGGAGACTAATGCCTCCAATAGGGCGTTGGGAGTGGTGCTGCTTCAAGAAGACTGGAATGGCGACCTGTGCCCCAGTGGCGTAGTTAGCTGCATGGGCGGGACGAGCTGGGGAGGGGCAGGATGATCCGCCGTGCGCGCGGCAATGAGCCATTCCGCAGTGTGTGGCGGCGGCGAGGCAAGCCCCTCACTGTCTGCCTTTTTGTCACCCCCTTTGTCAGCCCCGGGGCAGACCGCCCCCACCCCACCCCCTTCCTATGCCTGTGCTGTGCCCGTGTGCCTTTGTCAGGTGTGGGCTGGCATCCTGCTTAATAACAGCACACAAGACTTAATTAACTGGTACATTTACTGCAAGCAGCAATTAGTCTCTGACTGCTCTATTGGAGTATGTGTTCATCACAGTCAAGTTGACTCTGAAGAGCCCTTCCGGTTTCTGCAGAATATCCTGAACTTCTGACCCTTATGTTTTGGGGCTTGTTTTCTTTCTAGGACTTTCCCTATTCACCTAGTTTTGGGACTAATAGTATTAGTTGCCTCCTCTTCCTGTGAGGAACTACTCGCTCTCCTTTGTGCTGGGCATGACTGTGCTTCTTGTGAGGGCTGGCTGCCTCCAGCCTGCTCTGCCGAAGCAGATAAGCTGCATTCCTTTCAGCTCTCAAAAGAGGGGGTAGACAACCCCCCTGTTTCAACTGTTTGAGAAGTATACAAGCCTCTCTGCTCCCTCTGCATCTGCCTGCATTCTATTTCAGGCAGTATGTCTTTGCTTTGGGCTGGTGTGTTCACAACACCACTCCCTCCCCTATAATCCTCCTCCTCCTGCTCCCCCTCCTCCTGAGGCTCCCTGTCTGTGTTTTCCCACCAGTCATTCTCACTCTCTTCTTCCTCCTCTTGAGAGTTCCCTACTATGCTGCCCCCCCCTTCAGCCTCACTTTTGCCATCTTCTTCCACTGCCTTCTCCTCCTCCCTCCACCCTTCTGGGTTTCGGCTTGCTGAGGCACCTGCGGTGGAATTCTACCTGTAACCTAGGGGCATGCACATTTT